ATGAAAACAGGACAGAGTGAGGGAAGAACACTCTCATCATTCCTTCTATGCTCTACCTCTGAATGATACTCCCTTGTTTGTTCCTTCTATGCTAATTATGCAGGAAGGTCCTGGAATTCTAAGAGATTCAGGAATAATAAAATTGAGACGCTCCTATATGGTAGGTAAGCAAACCTGACTTTTGTACTTTACTTATCTACTATACTGAACTAAATGCATTATTTTCTCTATAGAGTTCCCAAAGATGTAGAAATGCTGAGAACATAACACAAAGTACTTTTTAGTATTCTCAACATTCCTGTGCACTACTCCTCCTGAATTTGAGGCTAAAGAGGTTTTTTGGTTTTTAGATGAGATCGTGAAAAAATGTTAACTCTAACATATTTAGACATGCCAGAACCTGAAAGCTTAAGGTTTCAGGCCATTAGACTCGTTACTGCCATGTTTTAGGTTTTTACATCTTCCTGTCTATCTTCTCCCAACTAAATCTTCATGAAGTTGTTTCCTGAAATGACAATTAAAATGATATTAATCCCCCCAATTTTAACACAAAATATCATGATGCTACTTCTGTATTTTAAAAAATCATGTGACAGTGGTTCTTCTGTGGCAGATGACACAAATGCCCTGCTTCCTGACTCTATCAGAGGAAAACTAGCCATTAACATGGGACTTTAGCAAGGTACTTAGCAAGGTCTCTCATAATATTCTGTGGTCAAGAAGAAAAATATAGGCTAGATGATTATATAATTAATATGATTCACAGCTGGCTGAAACAACATATGCCAAAAGGTGTTAATTAATAGCCTGATATCAAGCTGAAGGAACACTCCAAATATTCTACAGCATTTTGCCCTTTGCTCAGTGCTACATTTTACCTATTATCAATAACTTGGATGAATATATATAATAGTTATCAAATATCTGGATAAGATCCAAATGCATTAGATTACAGAAATAGAACCTAAATATTGGAACAGGCTGGAGTAATGGGCCAAAACTAATAAGATAAAGTTTAAGTAAGACAAATATAAAGTTCTGTACTTTGGTCCAAAATGTTTTTCCCTGCTCATAGACAGGATATACAAAATTTTGTTAACAAGCAGCATATGGATATAGCTGTTAAAAGAAGTTCATTAAATATTAGGCAGCATTGTAAGAATAAATATTTGTTGGGTTGTAGAAGGAAACTTGGTTCTAGCATCAGGAAACTAGGTCAAATCCCAATTCTCTTACTTTGGCCTCTTAAACTCTCTAAGCCTGACTTTCTTCTCAAGGTTGTTGTGAACTTAAAATGTGTTAATGTGTCTACGTTCCAAGCACTTGTGTGCAATAAATATGACCTAGAAAAGTCACCATTTACAGTAAAATTGGTGACCATGCCACTCCATTTTGTCTTAGAAAAGATGGTGCTTGGAATGAATTCCAGGTGCCACACTTGCATGCAAACTGGAGCTACTTCCAAAGACAGTGACTCTGATGGATGAGCAACTCCAATGAGGACATGAAGGACTGTGGCAGAAACTGGGGATAACTGGCTTGAAGAATAGTGGATTCAAAGGACATGGTATCTACCTTCAAATATCTGATGGTGTGCTGCAAGGCCTCCTTGAGGGCTCTAAGAAGGGAGACCTAATAATGGGGAATGGAAATTACAAGAATGTGGGCCAGGGTGAGCACTTGGTGAGGATGTTGTGAGTGATTTCAGCATAACTGGGTGGTTGGACTACATGGCCTTCAACAAAACAGTCTGTGTCATAGGTCACTTTGCATGAAGTGGTTTCTTCTAAACTCTGCCTCAAAGTAATCCAGAAGCTCCACTATTTTGGTTGGGCTGGTTTCTAGCCTTGCAATTATATCACCTTCCCTCCAGCCTTAGAACAAACCTCTTATTTCTTCAGTCTGTCTTTGACCAGTTTACGCTTGCTCTCTACTTTATGAACTTCTGGTCATTTAAAATGTCATCTTTCCCCAAACTGAACTATCCAAAGGACACAGTATAAGGGATAATTTGCGGATACTTTTTGGGAGATGGGCCAGCAAATCATGATTTCCTAGTTGCTGAAGTAAGACAGTAAAGCCGGAATTAAGAACCGGAATTTAAGAGCTCCCAGAATTGGAGCTGTGGACAAGTAAGTGGGGAGGGCGCCAATCGGACAAGTCTTTTACTGAGAATTTAACATATTGAGAAGGAAGTGGAGACCCAGCCTTGAGCCTGCTGGCCTACTACAAGCACCCAGAAGTTGTTTGTTCAACGCAGGACTTCCTCTGTTTTCAGGAGGCAAAAGAAGGTTGGGAAGGTTGCTTAGTATCTCCAGCCTATTTTGGATGGTAATTGGGAAAGTGCCTGGGGCAACAAGACAAGCTGCCCACCTCCAGTCCACCCAGGGCACTCCCGCTTGCTTCCCTTCTAAGTGACTCCAAGGAATCATTTCTTTTTCTTTATTTTTATTTTTTATTTTTAGAAGCCTCTTGTAGGGGAAAATTGGCTGCGCGCCGGTTGCCAGTGACGCGGCGGCCAGTTCCGCCAGGCTGAGGTGAAAGAGGACACCCGTGTGGGGAGGGGGGGAGCCCAGGCTCCTGAATGGCTGAGTCGCGAAGGCTTATTTGCATAACGTTGTCTGACAGCACCTGATTGGCTGAAGCCAGAGGGGCGGTGATGGGGTGATTCCAAGGGTCCTGCAGTTCTGGTCCCGGGACCTTTCCATTCCGGAGTTAGCCCCGGGGGAGCTGAGGAGGCACGTTTTGGGAAGTTTTGTAGGCAAGTGCATGAGCCATCTTTCCCTTATAGTGTTAAGAACTGTGAAAGAACAACGGTGGGGCATTAGTGACCCGGAGACAAGAGGAAGAAAAGAAATAGATTAGGAAAGAGTTGGAGGCTAAAAAAGAAGGCGATGGGGGCTTTCTCCCTAGCTGGGATTTTTTTTTTCTGGAATCTCTTTTCTAGATCACTTTGATTTCCGTTTTCTGTGAGTTATTGTCACACTTTGTTGGAACTGAGAAGAAAAAGGGCAGGATTCTGACATTTCATTACTCATATCTGAATACCAAGTTTTCATTCAGAAGCATAGGTACTTAAAATATCAACAGGGTCTGTCATTGGGGAGAAAATGTGTTTTAATTAATGAGAGGTTCAGCTACTGGCAACAATATGTGTTTTTCTCTTGCAATGTTATGTGTCTCATTGGACATAAGGATTTAAAATCAACCTGTAGTATTTTGTACTCTCTTGCTGCCTAAGCAATGGGGGGGGGGGGAGGGGGAGGGTGGTGGTGTCTGAGACTCATACTCATCATAGACTTTTCCCACATTTTACAGTTTTGTGATTTTTCCCATAAATACCTCTAGGCTATGATGAGGCCCTATAGCAAGTACAAATAATCATTTTAAAGTGCTTTGCAATTTACATATTTTAAAAATCCATTATCTTCATCCAAAATTTGGCACAGGCCATGGGAAGAGCTACATTGTATTGTTAAGTAAACTGAGGCTGAAAAAGTTTGTCTCCACATGTGCAAAGAGGGAGGGTGAGATTATTTTAATGCTTTAAATTTATATAGTGCTTTTTGCTTTCAATTTTTCTTTTCATTGATCCAAATGATAGATAGGCTGAGCAGATTATATTATCCCAACTTTATAGGGAAGAACACATGGGCTATAATCCGGTGCTAATAAGCCATGTAGGGGGAAAGGGGGGCTGGCGTCTCCAAACTGGGCTTCTTCTCCAGGTGTCACTGACTTGTGTCCTATTGTCAAAAATTGAGTCTTTGTTGCATCAAGTCAGATTTTCATTCAAAAGACAATTAGGAAGATGGTTTGTCATGGAAAAAAAAACCACGTAAATATGGATTGCAAGATGAAAGAAAGAGAGGACAAAATAAACTTCATTATGTGCTCTTTGCTTTTGACACTTTGTTCTGCAAGGAAACCCTGTACTAAAAGCACTCCTGGAAGGTTTTAGAGAAAAATTATTTAAAATTAGAAACTTGAGTCTTGTTGAATTATTTGTAGGACTGTTGGAGAAGACTGTCAGATGAAGCACATAGCAAGGGAAGTGAGATGATAAAACAGAAATAAAAATGAAAACAGGCTATGGTTTGGAATCTCATTGTGAAATTTAAGGCGCAAGGCTCTTACAAGTTAAATCCAGCGATTTGGTACATAGCTTATTAATGCCCTATTAAATGATCTTTCGTTTTAAGAACTATCTTTGGAAAGGAGCATTTCAACAGCTCCCCCTCAATATATTAGACACCTTCCTACTTTTCTGTTAAACGATGAAAGATCCAACACCAGGCCTAACTACTGTCACCTTTTCCTGGCTCTTCGCACTGGGTGGGACTCTCCAGCATCACAGAATAGCAGGGCTTGGACAAAAGTCAGGAATTTAGTTACTTCTTCACATTGCCATGTTTGATCTTTTGAAGAAAGATGTGCAGATCCGATTATGGGTCACTCTTCATTCCAGGCAGCAACTATGACCAGGAGAGACCTCACTAGGAGGCTCCCCTCCCCCAGCAGCTGGCCAAGGCCAGGGCCACAGCGGAAGCACTAAGAGTCCACGTGCACTCGACATGCCCAGCCACCCTTCTTACGTAAGAGTCCCGGGACAGAGTTGCGGCTGCTGGGGCTTCTTATCCCCCAAGAGCTAATAATAAACCGGGACAGTAGTTTCCGGGCTGCAGCCACTATTGATGTGGGACTGAGGGACTCACTTTGCAACCAAAGTGCGTGTATTTCAGTTATCCCACCCCGGGAGAGCAAGAAAGGCCCACCCAACCCTGGCTTGCCAGCCGCCTTCTAGGCGGTCCTGACTCCGGTGCTTTCTTTACCCGCGCAGTGCCGGGCCCTCCCCCACTGGCCTGCTCGGCTCTAGCGCTGGTGGGGTGCGGCTGTTCCAGCCTTGCCCCGCCACTGCGCCCTCCCTCCACCCCGGTATCAGGCGAGAGGCGGAGTTGGCCCGGCGCGCCCCGCCCCCGCTGTAGAAAGGACCAGCAGAGTGTTACTCCCGGTCATCCTGGCTCAGGACTTTTATCTCAGCGCTGCCAGGAGGCGGGAGGAGGAGACACCGGGGGTGGCCCTGAGAGCCGGCGACACCTTTTCGGGGCTCTATAAATTGAGCACCTGGGATGGGTAGGGGGCTGACACCACCACAGCCCGCAGTCACAGTCCGATCACTGACCACAGCGGCGCCCACAAGCAGTGGCCACCAGCAGCGAGAAGGCTGAGCTACTCAGCAGCAGGAGACCTCGAGGAGAAAGAGGAGGTGGGTGCCCCCGCCCCATCTCTGCCCCAGTCTACGCGGGTGCTTGGACTTGGCTTTTCGGAGGAAGACGGGGTGGGGAGTGCCCCTTCCTTCTTTCCGCGGCCCTCGGCTGGCGAGGAGGTGGGACCGCCCGGCTACGGGGAGCCACTCGGGCGCAGTCCTAGAGGAGCAGTAATTGTGGAGGGACGTGATCGCGGGCGAGGACGCCGGGCTCCCTGGCGGGGTGAATAATCTCTCGTACCCCCTCTCCCAACCAGGTCAGGGCTCGACCCACGGACCGCGCGCCGCCATCGCGAGCTTCCGGACGCCAAAACCCGGAGAAGCCGCGCATCCCGCAGGGCCGGGCTGTGAGAGGGCGGAGGAGGAGCCGGGAATCCCGCCGCTCCGGCTATAGCCAGGCCCCCGACGCGGGTTTCCAAGAGCTCGTGAAGGCGGGCACACCCTCGCCTCAGCCGGCCCTCCCGTGCCCCTGTGCTTCGGCGTCCGCGCGGCCACCATGATGCAAATTTGCGACACCTACAACCAGAAGCACTCGCTCTTTAACGCCATGAACCGCTTCATTGGCGCCGTGAACAACATGGACCAGACGGTGATGGTGCCCAGCCTGCTGCGCGACGTGCCCCTGGCCGAGCCCGGGCTAGATAACGATGTCAGCGTGGAGGTAGGCGGCAGTGGCGGCTGTCTGGAGGAGCGCACGCCCTCGGCCGCTGGCGCGGGCAGCGCCAACAGCAGCTTTTTCGCGCCCTCCCGGGACATGTACAGCCACTACATGCTGCTCAAGTCCATCCGCAACGACATCGAGTGGGGGGTCCTGCACCAGCAGCCATCGCCGGCGGGGAGCGAGGAGGGCAGCACCTGGAAGTCCAAGGACATCCTGGTGGACCTGAGCCACTTGGAGGGCGCAGACGCCGGAGAGGAGGACCTGGAACAGCAGTTTCACTACCATCTTCGCGGGCTGCACACTGTGCTCTCCAAACTGACGCGCAAAGCCAACATCCTCACCAACAGATACAAGCAGGAAATCGGCTTTAGCAATTGGGGCCACTGAGGAAGGACGCCCGCGGCTGCCCAGCACCCTTCCCGGCCCCATCTCTCACCCTCTTTTTTCTCAAAGCTGTTTTCTTTCTGGTTTGTAGGGCGCAATGGGCCAACTGCAAAGTTGGGGGGCTGAGTACATGAAGGGTGTGCGACAGGGCTACATGAAGGAGGGGGCCTCTTTTAGGAGAAGAGAAGTGGTGGCGAGAGAGGGAGGTTGCTCAAGGACCTCCTTTCATTACGTGGGACGGTGGGGGACTGGGGGCTGTATTCTACCTTGGTGGGAATGGAAGTGGGCTGACGCCCTGCATTCAGCCTGTGCCTTTCCTGGAGTTTCTTTTCTGTTCTTTCCGGAGGAGGAGGAGAAGGGCCGAGAAGGGGCCATGCCAGGGCGCGGCGCTGGGTTGCCACACTTGGGAGCGCCGCCCAGGGGAGCTGGGCGCTGGGGAAGGCGGGGCGCGAAGTGGCCTCCCGCCTCCCCGCGTTTGGGCTGGTGGAGGCCTCTCATTGCTAGGATTGCATCAGTTTTCCTGTTTGCACTATTTCTTTTTGTAACACTGGCCCTTTCCTAAGTATTTCGAATCTCTTCCTTGCTTTGAAACTTCGGCGATTCCATTGTGATGAACGCACAAACAGCACTGTCTGTGGGTAACCGGTACTACTTTATTAATGATTTTCTGTTACACAGTATAGTTGTCCTGTGGCACTCTACCCATGCCTTTCAAGCCACCCCTTCCCCCACCCCAGTGCGTGTAAGTTGGCATTATGCCAACTTGTACGAAGCTTGCCACTCAGTCAGTGGAAATAATAACATAATTATGAGAAAGTGGACTTGTCTTAAATGGAACCAACTGACGTTCTATCAGTGATGTATATAGAATGATGAAGAGTTCCACTGTTGTTATGTCTCAAATTTATTTAAAACTTTTTTAATCCAGATGTAGACTATATTCTAAAAAATAAAAAAAGTCAAATGTGTTAATGAAACTCGACAAAAGTTTGTTGCTCTTTAATCCATCAATGAATGACTTAGCAGTTAAATAAAAATAAATTTAATTGATTTTCTTTAGCAAATTTTATTTTCTTTCTGATATACCTAATATGGTGGATAATCATCTCTGTAAGTATTCAGATTTGTTTGGGAAGCAGCTATGGACAAAATTTACTGCCAACTTTTTTATTTCAAATTCAATACCAAGGTAGGCCTATATACCTCAACAAGAAAGTCATAAATATTTAAATTATTTAGAAAGGTATACATTATATTTTTCAACAAAATTTACTAGCTTATTGGAGTGCTCAATTAATATTTTGATGTATTTAAGAAACTTAAGCACAAACTGAGATGTTTTGAAGCCTAAAAACTTACTTTAAGGTGGAAATTTCTCTTGTCTACTAAGTTAAGAATTAGAAAAGAACCACCAGCTAATAGTGCACCCACCTTGCCGGCCTTTATTTACGAATGTTTTATGTTGATCTTAAGAGATACTTAAATGTGTGATAACGTGCTCTAGTCTTTTTCACTAATTTCCAGTGAAGTGCTAATGTTTGTTAGGCAGTGTCCTGCAATGCTTTTAGTTTTTTTTCAGTGAGCCAGTCTCAGTTATGGACAGCAGGTCTGGTCAAGGCTGTTGAAGGGCTCTTGGGAAGGGAACATTTAGATACCATTAGGATATTTTCCCAAGATGGTGGGGTGGGTGAAATATGTTGCTCTTTTTCATTATTGGTTTAGGGGGAATATATATTAGATCAACTTTAGTTTTCAAACTAGCAGTTATGAGACATCTCTAAGCTCATAGAGCTTGAATTTAATATAACTTTGCAGTTTTGTGGTTTTTTTTAAAGCAAAATGTTTTTCTGGTGTGGGTAGTTCGAGTGTATTATCAGCTTTTAGCAGCAGTGAAAAAATGGGGAAGTGTGAAGACTAGGTGCCTGCCTGCTGCTGCCAGAGAAAGTCAATCTTTAAATATAAAGATAAGCTGGGCAGCCCCAAAAGTAAGGTATACAGCTTATCGCTGCAAGCGAAAAATACAAACAAAGGAAACTACAGAAGCCACCAAGATAGAAACTCCAAGACTGGAGCCAGAAAGTGTTCAAATCCTCTTGTTCCTACTTCTTAATTACAAGTATTTTAGCATCCAAGCTTGTTGCCACATTTGAAATTAGGCATATAATAACTATAATGCTTACTCTATGGAGTTACAGTGAGAATTAAATGAGATGATATATAGTTTGTCTGAAACTTCGAAGTTTCTTTAGGAACTACTCAAGGGCTTTATAGGTTTCTCTCTTGCTCTGTCTAAAGGTTGGTTCAGCCCTGGCTGGTTTGGCTCAGCGGTTGGAGCATTGGCCTGTAGACCAGAGAGTCCCGGGTTCGGTTCCCACTAAGGACACATACCTCAGTTGCAGTTTATCCCCGGCCCCGGTTGGGGTCGTGTGGGTGGTGACCAGTCGATGTGTCTCTCTCACATCCATCTCTCTCTCTCTCCCCCCTCCCTCTTGCTCTATAAAAAAATAAATAAATAAATTTAAAGGTTGGTTCAGTGCTCACTTCAGCAGCACATAATACTAAGGTTGGAAAGATATAGAAAAGATTAGCATGGCCCCTGAGCAAGGATGACACGCAAATTCATGAAGTGTTCCATATTTTTGTGCCTACTGTCCAGAATATTTCATGTCCCTGTGGCTGTGTGGCTGCTGCTTCTGTAAAAATAAAAGTGTGACCTGGAAAGAAAAATAAATAAAGGTTGGTTCATGTCTCCATTGACCCCCTTGACTTCTCCAGGGATATATTAAGCACAGTACAATATGTTCATTTTAGGGAAAAGCATAATTTCAATTACAGATATGAAAAAACAGGTAAACTATTTCCTTTCTCAAAGTCTGGAAGGAGAGCCTGAATTAAAACCAAAACGTCACAGTTTGGGCAGATAATATAATTTTATGAGATGCTAACTGCAGGTTGTTTTCAGAATATTCCTCTGGTATATAGAATACAGGTAAGTACATGCTGATAGAAAAAACAAACAAACAAACAAAAAAACCCTACAAATAAAGAGTTATCAATGTTAGCTTTATTTCTGAAATGTACACTGTGTAAGAGTGGAGATACATACATAGTGATTTGATTCTAACCTAGGAGTAATGATGATCACTGTTAAAAAAAAACTGTTTTTTTTTTTTTTTGATGAACCAATAAGTTTTCCCAGGTCTAATAATTATTATCTCACTGATAGTAACTACTATTTTATTCAAGATCAGTTTCTGAAACAAAACAGGACAAATCCCCAACAGATTCACCTGTTAGAACTCCTCAAGCAATTTAAAATTTTGCTTAACTTTTTAGGTAAACTGATAAGGGACTTTGTATTTTCAGAAGGTCTTTTTCTGGAGGAGCTTGAAGTACCTTATAGATTAAAAAGTTACAAACAAGAACAAAACAGGTCCAGAGGCATGGATGCATGGGACAAACTGACAGATCTCAGAGGGGAGAATATAAAAATATAAAAAAATTTATATGCATATATGCATAGCCCATGGACCCAGACAATAGTGTGGTGAAGGCTTGGTGTGGGGCGGGGCTAGGTGGAGGGGGGAAGTACAAGGTAAATAGGGGACATATGTAATATTGTCAACAATAAAAATAAACTTAAAGTTCCAAACCAGTGTGGCACTTCCCTAAAGAGCTCTCAGACATCCTGGTCATCTGACTGCTCATTCCTGAGTTACTTTGGGACTAGAGAGAAGGCACAGATAGATGAACTGGGCAAAAAGAAAAGGCTTGGATTGCAAATGATTACCATACAGATATTTACATTTGATAAGAATTTTCTACATCAAAACTTCACACCAAAGCCTCTGAGAATGTCTGTTTTGGCCTCTAAAACAGTTTTCTACTTTGCTCACATTGGGTTTTTTTTTCATGTTTTACATTCACACAGTGTTTCTTAGTGGTCTGGTCTAATTTACTCTTTCTCTGAACCTGAACCTACTTGTTAGAGAGCACGTCATGGCAGCTGGGATTATTATTTTTTGGATCAACCTGAAAACTAGTCTAACTAGTTTTTCTAAACAGTTTTTAAAAATGAAAGTTATTGTCAGTTGTATATGCCTCATCATTTCCCCTTATTTTTAGTTTTTGAACAAAATCATGTGAGAAAGAGTGTCTCCCCTTATCCTCTACCCTCTACCCCACCCTGTCTTCCTTTCTTTTGTGGTTCTCAAATGTTTGCGAATTAAACACAGTTCTGGTGGATCAAGGGCTCCAATCTTATATACTTTTTTTAAAAAGTAATTATCTTTTAATGGGACATCGAGTACATTTATACCATTACAACCTGTGTGATTTATTTTTAAGAGTTTGTACAGCCCTGGCCAGTTTGGCTCAGTGATTAGAGCATCGGCCTGTGGACCAAAGAGTCCCGGGTTCGATTTCCTACAAGGGCACCTACGTCAGTTGTGGTTCATCCGGGGCCCCAGTTGGGGTCGTGCGGGTGGCAACCAATCGATGTGTCTCTCTTACATCGATGTCTCTCTCTCTCTCTCTGAAAATGTAAAAATATCCTTGGGTGAGAATTTTAAAGGAAAAAAGAGTTTTGTACCAAATAATGACAAAAGTAATGTTTTCTTTAAAATTGTGGAGGCAATTTTTATCCCCAATAAAAAAAATTTACCCCAAATAAAATAATCTGGATCAGGAGCTTATGAAAACTTTAATTGCGTAGACTATTGGATTGGTCACATAAAATTATTAGTCTTTTTAAAATTTCAAACTTTATGTAGTTTCTGATCAAGGCTAAATTGTTTAATTAGCAACATAATTTAACCTTAAATTTATTTGTTTGTTTTCCTTTTAGGGTTAAGTCCAATTTTTTACAAAAATAATTCAGGGAAATTTAAAGGTTGTTCTTGAGTTACTCTGAATATTTTATTAGGCCTCCAGTTAGTTTGTTTGGAACTGTGTAGAACTTCCCGATAAGTGGTGAAGATTATGATAATCTACTACCAATAATCATTTTTGCATGTGTAAGCCAGTACCATCCTTTGCCTCATGCAACTAGAGCTCCTTCTCTGCACCCCCCACCACTTTAGAGGGCCTCCATGCTGACTCTCATAAGGCTTTGTGACTCCCCATAGTTCAAGAAGTCATCAGAGCCAAGAGAAGGCATAGAGCTTGTGCCCCTACTTCTAGACCACACTTGGGTACCTGGGCCCCCAGAGTTCTCTATCTAAATAGACCTGAGCCCATTCCAGAGACCTCATAGGCATTTGCCCTGAGATTATCCTCCTGATGGTGAACATGCTTGGATAGTGGACAGGGCTTAGAACTGCAAACTGAGTTCCCCAAGGATGGAGCTTGGGTAGAGAGATAAGGAGGCCATACAGGGGAGGGGTATAAGCTGGAGGAACCCCTCAGTTTTAGAATGAACAAAGGGTCTGAAAGCCTGTAGAAAGGAAATAAGCTCAAGCTTTAAGGTCTTGTCCAGTACTAGCAAATAAGGATTCCATGGGTTTTCTCCCCATTTCTCACAGTCCTCAGGAGTCCCCTTGCTCCACTGAAAGTAGGTCAGTTAATCAATGAAGTGTTGGCTAAGAAGAAGGAAAACCACTTCTGTACACAGAGCTTTTCTAGCTGTTTGCTATTCAGGGCTTGAATGTTGGCGATGATAGTGAAGAACCAAAGAAATACATTTTCTATAAAACCATGAAGATTTCACCTCCTCAAATTTCCTTTCATGATTAAAAAAATTTATATATATGTGTGTGTGTGTGTGTGTGTGTGTGTGTGTATATATATATATATATATATATATATATATATATATATATATTTCTATCGTTGGCTGTTTTCATTTTAGTGTCAAATTCTTGGTCAAGTTGGAACATAAAAATAATAGTTGTGCATCTGTCTAAACAAGGCCTACTAAAACCACAACTATCTCATCAGCCCTTCCTGTTTGGGCATTCTCTGTTTTTAAGAGGAGCATGTTTTTTTGTAACCTTCTATTCTTGTTCTCATATTTTATTTCTTCTTTGTCTATTTCAGAGCCCTTTGCTGGGCAATTTAAAAATTTATCTGCTGGTGTACCCAACTTCAATAATCTCAAACTGGTAAGAATTTTGATTGGAGAAAATTCTTGTAATTTATTTGACAACAGGGTTATAGATAGTAATTTTTTGACCTTGAACTGTCTAGAGAAAGTGCTTTCTAACACAGATATAAAGACTGAGAAGATACTAGAAAAACATGGAGCCCAGTTCTTTATTTTAGCAAGCTAAATAAACAATGCTGGGGGAGGGGTGGGCATTTTTTACAATCTATTTTACTTTTCAATACCAATCTTACTAGTGTTGATATGTGCACTTTTATCAACCAACATTCAGTTAACAGGATGAAACTGAACATGATTCATTTGATGTTTTCAAAGGTAGAAACTAACTTTGTAGTTTTTTTTTTTTCCTTTTGAATACCACACCACTGAGGTAAAGAATGTTGTAGCTGTGGGTGAGCTCAATAGGGCCAATTAAAACCTGACTACTCTTCCACCATGTTGAAATACCTGACAGAACTTGCTGTGTCCTTGGATAATGGCATTTTTTTTTTCTTCTTAGCAGACATCTAATTGAGGAGAGTTCCTGTATGGTAGTCAAGGAAAGATGAAAATGAAAGTACTACATTGTTGGTACTGACCAAAGTCTTTACAATTTTCCAGTTGATTACAATGTGGTATTAATTTTAAGCTCTGCTTTAAAAAAAAAATGAAACATACACATTGTGAAAGAACACCCATATGTTCTGTAGTAGCCAAACTATGTGTAGAATGCTAGGAGTGTAGTTAGTGTACTTTAGTCATTCAAAACAAGGTGTAGTATTTTGTGCCATGTAATTGACATTGCAGCTTGTAACTTATGGATGCTTTGGGGGTATAGTTTAGTTTCTGTTGTGACAAGTACTTGTTGATAGTACTTCCTTCATAGCTTAAATGTTTGGAGGAGGAAGTACCAGAAATGTAGATATTTAACTCAGGTGTTGGGGACTGGGAAGAATCTCAGAAACCAGTAGCCCTTTCCCTCTAGTGGCTTTGGGAGCAGAGGAGAAGGCCGACACCCTGCGGTCAGACTGGGCCCACGTGGAAAAAGGGAGGTGTCAAGAAAAGCCTGCATAATTTAGTCTTTCCAAATGTACCAAATGTCACCCCACTGTCCCTGGGTCTTCGTGATAAGGGGAGTGGTGTTTTAGGACACTCCCACCCATTGGAAACACTAGGAATGAGGAGGTAATCATTCTCTTCTGAAGGCAGGTTGTGGTGCCTTTTTCTCTGACTCAAAGGGCAGCAAATGTTAGGTTGAAGCATATAGTATTGTCATTGTTGTCCAAGCTGGTTGAATAATTCGTGATTCCAGCAATTAGGTGTTCCTCTGTGGCCATACTATAGTCCTTTTCATCACCTTACGAAATTATGGTTTGCCAACTCAAGGTTGGCCTGATTTTGAAGTAGAAGGAGTACAGGACAAGAAAAGACCAAGGGGGCCATTATGTAAGGGGGAAAACTAGAATGGAAGAAAAAGGAGACTTAAAGTGAAAAGAAGAAATTGAAAACTTACAGAGAAGCTGTGCATGTTCTTCCACAACATTGCCACCTCCATCAAG